TATATATATATATATATATCGCTAATTCTCCTTGCAACAACGTGGCGTGGGTGAGAAAAAAAAGATGGCACTTCTCTATTTTCTTTTATTCTCCACGGGAAACAGTCAATCAGAACTCCACATGCGTTCAGACGCCCGTGTCGTTCAGCCCCTGTTTTTTTTTCCCTTTCGCGCCTCTTTTTCCCGCCAAAACTGCTGCACATTGCGGCGTTCACAGCACTGCCCCCTCTCCTCCAAGCGGACGTTCACTCTCAAACTGTATAAAACAATTGCTGAATGCAATATTACAAAACTCAGGATGCAAGGCGTTTCTACTATTGAACATTAAAAAAAAGAATACGTTTAAAGAAAACAATATTTGCTATCATCCTTCAGAAATATAAAAAAAATGCCTTATATTAATCACATTTCTACAAGAAAATCATTAAGATGCAGTGGTACTTTCCGGTCTCTATGGGGTCGCGAAGTCAGATGTTGCGTCTCTTCCTCTCGGTGCTCCTCAGACTGTCCCTTGACGTTGTCTTCCACCTTTGTCCCTAGCTGTCCATCCTCCTCACTGTATGTATCCGGCGCCTCCTCAGGAACAGCAGCTACAACGTCGAGTGGGTCTTCAACTTCTTTCATACTGGTGCCCCAGGTATAGTGGCCATCTCGATGATACTCCCGTAACCTGTCTCCGTGGACCACTCGTGTTCTTATTCCAGGTCGTCGGCGAATCCGGAAGGTTACGTCGGTCACACACTCGATGATGGTGTAGGGCCCCTCCCAAGGGTTCTTTAGCTTGGGTGACATACTTTTCCTCTTCTGGGGGTTGTACAGCCACAATAAATCTCCTACTCTGAATCTGACTGCACATTCGCCCCTGTAGTAACAGCGTCGCATGCTCTCACCTGCAAACCTGGTGGTTCACCTCCTCAAGTCGTTGTTGTAACTCAATGGCATAATCACTGGTTGCTACAGGTAATTCCTCGTTTGGTGGCTTCCCAGTCACCAAATCTAGTGGCAAATGCAGCTCCCTTCCCAACATCATCCTTGAAGGGGCGAAAGTGGTGGCTTCATGGTCTGCAGAGCGGTATGCTATCAACAAGAATGGAAGCTTGCTATTCCATTCCGTCTGTCCTTCGGTACATTACTTGGCCAGCTCCTGCACGTCCTATTAAACCGTTCAACCATCCTGTCAGACTGTGGTTCCTAATTCCCATCAACTGGTAACACTCTTGGAATACGGCCGTCTCAAATTCCCGTCCTTGGTCAGAGTGCAACTCGCCAGCTCCAAAAAGACTGAAGACTTCGGCTACAGTAACTGCTTCATGGTTGGCGATAGGGTAGGCTTCTGGCCATTTTGAAAAGAAATCCATAGCTACCAAGATGAACCTGTTGCCTGCTGCAGCCACCGGAAATGGTACAGCCACATCTACTGTAATCCATTCCGTAGGTGTACCGACTTGATACAGTTGTAAAGGCGCTTTTCCCCTCTTCGCTGGCCTCTTCTTTGCATTGCAGGTGTCACACATCTTGCACGTTTCCTGTGTCCACTTGCCACGCCATCGTTTACTTCTTCCATCAGTCTGGTCCGGGGCTCTTTTAGCAACACCACCTGCCAAAACTCGACACATCCATTAGCCTTGACCCACTTTCTATTCAGAACACTATCCTTTATTTTCAGGGCGTCCCACTCATGCTAGTAATAGCCAGGCTCATTGGAACTACTGTCACCCCTCTTGGACGATGGTGAGCGTCTTCCATCCACTGCACTACTGGTCCGATGTCCTGGTCCCTTTTCTGTGCCTCCTTCAGCTCCCTGTTGTTGACGTCCTCCATGACTTGCGTTCTCTTGAAGTAATCAGACAGCTACTTCATGCTGCAGTGACGGTAGTCTAGTTCACAAGGCCGCCTACTGAGTGCATCGGCGTTAACATGGGCCTTCCCTGGCCGGTGTATCATCTCAATAGTTATGTTGCCCTTCTGGGTTTCTGAAAGTCTTCAGCCAACAAAGAGTTGCATGTTCACTACGGATGGTAAACTTGGTACCATACAGGTATGGTGGAAGTGGTCTAGCCTCTTCACTATTGCAAGCATCTCTTTTCTTGTTACATAATAGTTCTGCTCTACCTTACTGAGTTTGCAACTATAATAAGCCACTGCACGCTCGTGTCCGCCGCTCTCTTAAGTTAAGACGGTTCCTATTCCTTCCGTACTCCCATCACAGTCCATGATTTAAGGGCAACTTGGATTCGGATACATCAGCACTGGTGCTTGTGAACAGTGCTTCCTTCAGTTGATTAATAGCCACTCGACGTTCCTGCTCCACTGAGAATGCATCCCCTTTCCAGTGAATTGATGCAGAGGGGTGGAAATGCTGGCAAAATTTCTTACAAACCTTCTATATTATGTACAGAGCCCAAGGAAGCTGCGCACTTCTCTTTTATCCTTGGATTCTGACCATCCTTGTACAGCTCCCACCTTTTCTGGGTTTGCTTTCACTCCATGCCTGCTCACTATATGGCCTAGGAATAGCACCTCAGTCTGGAAAAGCACACGCTTTTTAGGGTTCAACTTTAGATTGGCGCTTAAATACCACCTCTAGTCTTTCTAACTCTTGCTCAAAAGTGTTCCCATACATAATAACATCATCTGAATAGATGAGTGCTGATTTCCACTGTAGCCCATCTCGAATGCGTTCCATAAGACGTGGCGGGCGCATTACATAACCAAAATGGAATGACTTTAAACTGCCATAGTCTTTTCAAATCAAGGGTACTAAACAGCTGCGTCCACACCAGTGCGTCAAGCATGTCATCCACATGTTGCAGTGGATAAGCGTCCTTGATGGTCACCTCAATAGCGGCCCTGTAATCCACACAGAAGCGTCTGGACCCATCCTTCTTTACTCGGACCACAGCAGATGACCAGGGGCTGCTTGACCTCTCTATGATCCCCTGTGCCTTGCATCTCTGCAACAGCTTCTTCCATATCGCACCTTTACACTGAGGGTATATGTCTGGGAGCATTTTTAATAGGGCGACTTCTACTTGTTTCGACGAGGTCGTTCCGTTGAGGAACTACCATTTATGTCGGAAGAACCATGAGGGTAGGGACGAAGGCGGAGTTACCATGTACAGTCACTAAAAAAAATACCCTTACTCTTTCTGACTTAACAATATGATACGACAACGAAAACAGTTGAAAAGTCCTGTGAGCTCGACCTGATATTGGTATCCCTGACAGGGTCGTTATTTGGGGGAGGGGTAGCTCCCCCCTTTCAAGATCCACCATTTTCAACTTATTTACTAATTCCACCTATGTAGATCAGGTTATAGCTTTACATGTCCCTAGAATAACTTTTTTTTATTGGTGTTCACTTCGCTTGGCTATATAAAAAATGAGTTTTGAAATGTATAATCCCATTGTTACCGCCAAAAGAATGGCGAACACAGGCAAATCTACATGGTATGGATGCCACTAACGCCGCCGTTAACTGACATCCGTTTGCAGAGCGCAATCACTCCTTTACTGTAATTGTTTGGGCAACGACAATATGACGATTGCAGGTATGATCTTGGGGGAAGTCTTTGCCCATGGCTGTCTAAACAATCTCAGTGAGGATGAGATCTGGCATCACGCCTGCAATCACGCCTTCACGACAAGGTAAAATGGCCCCTACTCGGGAACACCATGGCCCTCACCGACGGTAGAAACATCTCGTCCGGGATTTCCATGTAGGTATACCCCGTAAATCCGCCGGGCCCGACATCTGTCAACTCCCGATGCCGCTGTTGTGCATCCACCCCATACACTATTAGAACACATTATAAAGCTTCCACTCCTTTGAGCTTTATAAACAAGTACTAACATTTCCGAGTCAACTCCTAGTGATCGTTTCGGTTTTATCTACTTATAAAGATATTTTTTTTAGCTGTACATCCACCAAAGCCTCCTTTTTACTGAAGTGACTATTGTTTCTACTTTGGAATTTGCCGCATTCAAAGTAAAAATTTATACCACGCATCTGACTATATGTTCAGTTTATTGTAAACCTAATAATGGGGTAATTTGTGATGAGCTCTTTGCTCTTCAAGGTAGTCTGCCACAGAATAAATTAATTTTAGGTGATTTTAATGTTATTGTCATACATATTGGGGTTCCCTGCGGATAGATATTAAAGGTGAGCAAGTAGTTAAGCTGATTAATGATTTTGATTTGGTCTTTCTGAACGATGGTAGCCCAGCGCGGGGGGACGATAATCCCAATACTTTGATTTTTATTGACATACCACTGGTCTCTTCAACAAGAGCAGCCAAGTGCCTATGGCACACCACTGACGACTCGCTGGGAAGCAATCACCTTCCTATTTTTATTGAATGTTCATGCGACAAATCAAGAACGCCTTCAGCTTCTAAATTTAACGTAAATAGAGCAGACTGGGTCGCCCTCACAAGATGCGTCAAGCTCGAACTTTTTGGAGAAACCATTGACGATAAAGTAAACAATGTTAAGAATTCGATTTTAGATGCAGCAATGATATCCATTCCTAAAATTTCGACAGATAGTGTTAAGCATAGAGTTCCATGGTGGACACCAGATTGTGTGAACGCAGTAGGACATACAGGCTTTTCAAAAATAACATCAATGTCGAGAATTTTTGCAATTGCAAATTAGCCAGAGCTAGGGCCTGTAGAACAATAAGAGAAGCAAAGGTCCTGGCGGAGCTTTGTCTTTACAGTAAATAACAATACACCAATATCACTAGTTTGGCCCAGTGTTAATAAAACAAATAAAAAAAAGACAACTTACAAAATCAAAAACATCATTCACGAGGGTACTAATTTCGATTCTCCTAGAGACATTGCTAATGCACTTGCCAGGCAGTTTTCATATATAAGCAGCTCAGACAATTACTATCCCGCATTCCTGACCACCAAGGAGGCGTCTGAGCTGCAACTTATACACTTTGCCACAGAAAATGACTTTGATTACAAAAAAAACACCTAACAATGAATGTACTTGTCTGAGACCTAGAAGCCTGTAGAGGAATGTCCCCAGGCCACGATGAGATTCGATATGAGATGATAAGGATCTTAATTATGATGCTATGATTAAGTTGCTAGAAATGTACAATGAAATTTGGAAAAGCCAGACTTTTCCAAACTCATGGCAGTTCGCCCACATCATTCCCTTATTGAAAGGAGGGGGAAATCCCAGACCCGCCCAAATGAGTCTGCAAATTGCTTATACAAGGTCATTGAACGAATTGTTAACAGTAGGCTACTGAATCCAAAAAAAAATTCTAGCTGATGAGTAGTACAGCTTCCGAAAGGAACGCCAATCTCTTGATCAGCTAGTAAAACTGGAAAGTACTGTTTTTTGTCAAAAAGCACTTTCTTATTTCAGTATTCTTAAATATAGAAAAAGCCTATGACATGACAGGCCTGGCCGTGAGCATTTTAGCAGGCGAGCGGTGCATCGCTCTCCTCGTTAAAGTCAGGCGGGCGATTTTCAATTTATTGAAAATCGTCCATAAAAGTGTACGAATAAACAACAAATGCAACATTGGTATTTAAGCAGCTAAGTTTACAAAACAAGATGACAATTCTCCAACAGAAATAAAACGATAGTTTCATATAGTCGCAAATCAACCACATTCTCACAAACAAGGTTTGAACAGAACCAAACTTAAATCAAATAGCGTAATTTTATAACATTAGTACAAACTAAGAGTCATTCGAAAACTGGCATTTTGAGGTTCAAGTTCAAGTTCAAGGTGATTAATGTTATTTTGAAGTCAAAACATAAGGGCTTAAGTTCCTGTCAATATTTTAGTTTTAATTCAAGAGGTGTCGAGAAATGAAAGGAAAACCAAGGCGGGCGGTTAATGTGCGAACTGACATTGAGGCGAGCGATGAATAGCTCGCCTCGCTAACCCGAGGCGAGCGTGGAGGCGCGCGCGGGCGATCGCCCGCCTCAAACGGCCAGGTCTGACATGACATATGCTTTTGGATTACGTGGAAACTTGCGTTGTTTTATTCAAAATCTAATTACTGAAAGAACTTTTGCTGTCAAATTGTTTTCTGAAAATGTCACTTTTTCGACATTTTTGTATGGTAAAGGGGTCCCACAAGAAAGTGTCTTGTCACCAACATTATTTCTATCTATAATAAATAACCTCTTACCAGCTCCCTCTCGGAATCTTAAATACTCACTGTACGCCGATGTTTGTGCATAATGGCACTCAAGCAGTAACGCGGACTTACAAATTACATCTAACTGACACTGATTCATAACTGGGGCCGCCGCCAGGGGGTTTTAAGTTATTCACAAGAAAGAGGATTGGGGTATTTTTTTCCATATAGGAAGATGCCGAACATCAGGCTAACTTTAAATAATCACCCAATACCTATTCAAAATACCGCATTTTTGTTAGTTTACTCAGATCGTCGATTTAATTGGAAAGACCACATTGGCCAAATAAAGAATAAATGTAAAAGTGCAATTAATTTACTAAAGTGCATTGCTGGAAATAGATGAGGAGCTGATAGAAAATATTTCCCAGTGGTATATAAAGCCCTAATTAGGTATAACATTGCTTATGGGTCAATCGTGTACGGCTCAGCATCGAGCTTAAATTTGAAAGGTTTGGATGCTGTGCAGAATGCTTGTATGCGTTTGTGTCTTGGAGTCCTGAAATGTACTCGGAACGAGCGTCTTGAAATGGAGTCGAGAGTACCTCTCCTCCGCTGATCTATGCCGCAGAGGTGGCTCAAGACCCGAGCCATCCTAACGTAAATGGTGGCATTAGGACCTTTTTCACACGACTCCACGAC